ATAGCAGAAAACAATATGATGCATTGCTTGAAATAATTATCTATTTCCAATTCAGAAAAAGTAGAAGGCCACTTGTATTTATAGTGTTTTGTCACATAGAAATAATGATTTCAGGAACTGGTTTACCTCATGGCAGAAGAGTAACTTCATGATTACAGAACAGATATAAAGAAATGATAATAACATGGTTACTTTGGAGAGGAAGCCCTGAAATAATGGAGGATACACTGGGTGGTTCTTGGCTCACCGAGAGGAGGGGGGGGGGGGTGTCATATGGGAGGACTCATGGGGAAGCATTCCTCTCATAGTTTCTGGACACCTCTTCAGCCCGTGCACACGTCAGATCTGCTCCGAGGGTATAAAAGGAGATGTGGACTTGAAAAGAAGGAGAGCAACCACTCACTGCCAGGTCTGGTGTTTTATAGACAGATTTCTTAACTCAGGAAAGTTACATTCCTCTTCTGAAGATGTTGAAATACTTTGTTATTGTGATCCTCTGCGTCAAACTGGTGAGGAAATAATTACTTTTCATTCAAAATCTTAGCTGTTAAAAGAGGACCAGATTTGGAGCAACGTTTTAATCAGAAATGTTTCCTCTCAGGTGTCAGCCTTGTGCCCGAAGGACTGCCGGTGTCCTGCTGACTCCCCCAGATGTGCAGCAGGAGTCATGCTGGATGGCTGTGGATGCTGTAAAGTCTGTGCACGTCAGCTCTTTGAAGACTGCAGCGAGTCACAGCCATGTGACCACACCAAGGGACTGGAGTGCAACTTTGGAGCAGGATATGGCTCTGCTAAGGGCATCTGTCGAGGTACTTTAATGATTTCCTTTTCTTTTCTTTTTGTGAATTCACCCACTGTGTCTTTTTACTCTTCTTATTTAAAACCCTATCTTGTTTCTAGCCAAATCAGATGGAAGAACATGCGAGTACAACAACAAGATTTACCAGAACGGGGAAATATTCCGTCCAAACTGCAAACACCAGTGCACTTGCATGGACGGAGCAGTTGGATGTGTCTCACTCTGCCCTCACCAGCTCACGCTGCCCAAACTGGGCTGTGCCAAGCCCCAGAGGGTGAAGGTTCAGGGTCGGTGCTGTGAACAACTCGCCTGCCACGGGGAGGCAAAGACAGAGAGCGGTTTTGGGAACAAACACAGTAAAAAGCACAGCAAAGACGGACGGTTTGAGGACGACCTTAACAAGAAGAATGAGCTGGCTCCTGTGTGGAAAGGAGAATCTAATTCTTTACCTGGTGAGCACTTTACACAATATCCTTCTATAGTGGTGATGCTAAAGGAAATGTTTGTGCAGGAGATTTTCTTTTTATTAAACAATTGCACATGACAATAATAAGCAAAGTGCAACATTCTCAAACTAAGGGGCAACCAGAAGATGATGAAAAAATACATTGAAATAACATACATTATAATGATTTTCTGTAGTTTAGTTGCCTTTACAGTTTGTCTGTGCTTTTACTGTGCAGTTCAACATCTTTGTTAAAAGAACCTGTACAAATAGGCCTTAGTTTGTAACCTTACTTTTTTTTTGTTATGTCTACAGTTTAGCAAGAACTATCAAAAGATGTATATAAACAAAGCTTTTCCTCACATTTACTTGAGATTTCTGCCTTTAAACTCTTCTTTAAATCTGACTTTTTCCCTCTTTGCAGGTTTTGAGAGCCTCCCAATGGGCCACATGTTATCCAGAAGAGTCAAATGTGTGTCTCAGACCTCAACTTGGTCTCCCTGCTCCAAATCCTGCGGCACTGGAGAGTCCAGCAGGATGACCAACAACAACTCAGAGTGCCGAGTGGTGAAAGAGACTCGGAACTGTGAAGTCCGCCTATGCAACCAAATGACCTTTACAGGATCAAAGGTACATTCATTTTCCTAATTTTAAGAATGATTCAATATGATGTCACTTTGTACTCTTAGCATGACTTTTTGAATGAGATCTTAAATGTAAATTAACATTTTCAAATGCTTTTGATTTCCTCCAACAGAAAGAGAAGTGTAATCACATAGAGAAGGCCAGCCGTCCGGTTAGACTGTCCCACACAGGCTGCCGTAGTCTGAAGAAGTTCCAGCCGAGGTTCTGTGGGTTCTGCTCAGACGGCCGGTGCTGCAGGCCGGACCGGACCCAGACCATATCCGTCCTCTTCAGATGCAGAAACAAGGAGATCACCAGCAGGATGGTGACGAAGATCGAGTCCTGCAAGTGTGACCTGAACTGCTCCGGCAACAAAGGAAAGACATCTCGCTACAAACTGTATAATGATATCCGCAAACTGAACATGTAAAGAGTTAAGTATGAAAGAAAAGTGTTGGACAGTAGAAACATTTGCACTTTGTGGTTGAAGAGGAGACATTTTTTATCAGTATTTTTTCAGATTTTGCTTCATGACAATGGAGCCTTGTGGTTTGCTTCTTTTTTGAAGCCGTTTTGTAAAATAAATCTTACTATTAAATGTAAATAAAATGTTATTGACTTTTATTTTATACACAGACTGTACATATGTTATCCAACCTTGACAAGACATGTTACAACATTGAAATGACATAAAGGCAGCTACTAAATCAAAGTCACTACACATATGTCACCATGTGCCTGTTGATTTACTGTGCTTGTCCATTTTATTTATAAGGGTTATTGTTGCATACATCTCATACTGCTTAATGTATTGTTATATCATATCATGGGACATGGTTTGATTCTATTTTTCTGGCATTTTCTACGCTCACTTGCCTAAAGGGTTAAATATCGCTGAAGGCTGGAATAAACTGTACTTTATGCAGGTTTGACCAATTAACTAGAATGTTGTCAATGCACATTTTTATATTTTTACAAATAAAAACATAAAACACTGCAGTATTCAAATGTAATCTTTTTTTGGGGGGGGGTGAAAGAAAATCATTTGGTGCATACAATCATCTGAAAAGACATTCTCAGGGGTCTGTTGTAAGAAAATAGGAAATGAGTTCTACTGTTTCAGCTGCATCTGGCTGACCCACATGCTACTGAAAAGATAAAGGAATGAGTGTAATGTGAACTTCAGAGGGGTTCCCTGATGTCGGACAGATGGTGAGCACAAGCTGCAGGATATTGTTTTAAGAAAAAGTTATAGAGAATAATCTAAACTATTTATATTGCACATGCAGAACGGAGGAACATCTTCACATAATGCTGATTTGTAAAATGTGTTGCTGTTAATATTGATTTCTTTCATGATTAGAATGATGAAAACAAACATTGATCTGACGTTGCTTCATTTGATATAAACAGGGATGTTGAATGTGAATTCTCCATCCAACAAAGAAAACTGTTATCTGCAACAGTAAGGCCTCTGTTTGTTTTTGATAATTGGTCCAGCTAAAAAGAAGAAGAACAGGGTCTAATTTGAGCATATTAAGCACATAAGCTCAGGGTGTGTCCGTCATGGTGCTGAATCATGATTCCAAACAGCCACGTGCAAGACTTTTTTTCCATCAAACAATAAGGGGATATCAAATTCCCAAAGTGCGATCAATGCAACTTTGTAAAGCGGCAAGACTAAGAGAGCGGGAATAATGAGAGGATACAACGAGAACTGACGCACACAGAGATTAAGTGATTTTGATCCCCTGACGGAGAACTCAACAATAGAGCTTTGTATTTGAGAAATGAGAGGAGAACTGCTCACTAGGTCGAACACAGTACGTCCACTCTAAGAACACATCAGAGCCTCTTACTACAGATACAGTACGGGGCCAAAAGCAATACCAGCAGAGCAAGAAGATGAAGTACAATATAAGACAAACAGTTTTTGAAAGCAAGTAAATCCTGCTCCTGAAGAGACCTCATGGGTGCTTATGCCTCATTTATATGAAAACCATCACAAAGGCAGGAGAGCAAAGCAGCAACCAAGCGGTTTGGAAACATCCAGTGTTGCATGTTTCTTAGTAATTATATTTACAGGCCCGAAGGCACGATCATCACAACTGACAGCTTAACTATTGATTTTCTGCATTATTCATTCTTTCACACACATACGGGTATTGGGCCGTGCGCGACACCGTACTTCCGGTATGCACCGTTTTACGCGAGGTGCAAGCAGCCGTACACCGTCTAGGTATTGCTATGCTTCCTGTACTGAATATCATAGGCTATTGCCTGAATCAATATCTAGTCAACTCTAAAATACCACATATATGCATTGGCATGATAATAATATTGTGACAAGTGGGGTATTCACCTGGTGTTTCCAGAAATTAGACGTAGATGCAGCCAACATCGACGAAAGCCTCTGTCTGGCAATCCGACAACCCACACAGCTCTAGTTTACGCTGGTAACGACCTAGAGCACACCCCTCAAGTCCAGAGATGTAATCCGAAGACATGCAGCGATTTCTTCGGTCGTTAATTCAGAAAAAAAACCTAGTGCGCTCTGCCTGGCAACTTAAGCTAGCTGTTTATATTTGCACTTCCAGGATAGTTGCACCTCCATGAAAATGGCGTATTTATATATATATATGGCGCGTGTTGGATTGTGGGTAGCTCGTGACGTCACTGTGTGTGAAAGAATCGGCACATAAAGGCACTCAATACGCACCACATAATTATTTTCTATAATTACTGTTTTGTGCAGCATCAGAAAGATAAATAAGCATTCAGCCAGGGCTCCAAATGTCCAGGCATGAGTCAAAGCTGTGGAATATTTCATGAAAACAAGGTGTATTCTACCACACATGAAGTTGGCAGGCCTATATTCAACATTACATTTAGTTTTCAAATGTTAATACTAGTTTTGGTTAACAGTTGCTTATAGAGTGAGATGTAAACAACAAAACAATATTGGTCTGGAACTATTTACACAAAGATAGACCTCGTCTTGCAATTGTCCAAGAACATTTTATGTTGAATATAATTAAAAAGTGACCAAGGTAAGACTAATGCACAGTGCATTGTGGGTAAAATGAAACACTTGACAGAAGTGAAAAGATTGTTCAACAAAACACCCCCACCTTGTGGCCCATTACTGTTATACAGCTTTTATTTTGGATTCATTATTTCAGTCTATACATATCAGAAATTGTGAAGCAATTGTGGCTTTTAGTTACTCCAAGCCCTACCTCACATCTTAATATTGCTTGTTTTATTAATCCAACAGTCCAAAACCCCAAGGTATTTCATTTAAAATCATAAACACAGAAAAGCAGCACATGTCTGTTACCAACTCACAACTCTTTAAACATCTGTGGCTACTTTGAGTAACTCTAAATAAATCTGTCAATAATATCCACACAACATTTTTTGGAACTGACTCGTCCAATGGGAATAGGATACAGAAGCACCATGAGTTCATATTCATACAATGTCATGTCTTTTGAGCTAAAAGCTGATACAGAAACTCCCAGTCCCTAGAATTGTCCCTGATTTCTGGAAGGAAATTGTTCAAGATTGTCAGCTAATTGTAGAAGTAAATATTTTAAAAAGTATTGCCTTCAATCACCTTTTTCAAAAAAGAATGTATAAATATTATAGTACACAAATTAAATAAATAAAAATGATAAATGCAAGCAAATAAATCCTTAATCATTTTAGAAAATATGCTGACTCAAAACATGATGATTGCAGTCCCTCGTCAAACATGGTCTGGTACGAGTTTTTGAGGAAATCTACGTAATTCTGAATGCTCTGCTTGTGGCTCTCTGATTGGTCCAGGCTGAGCTGCAGGTCCTTCAGACGAACCTCAAACCGTTTCTCTGCCTGAAGATAAAGAAACAGACACTCATAGTCACTCGACAAAAACCCATCAGAGGTAGTATCAAGTCAGAATTCAGTATTATATGAGCGTGAGTGCTCCGAAAAAGCACTCACAGTGAGCTTGCTCTGGCGTATATTCCTCAGCTCGTTATCTCTTCTGCTCTTCTCGGATTCCAGCTCCAGGATTTTGGCCTGAAGCGTCTCTTCTCTGGAGACAGCCTGGTCTTTTACCTTATTGACCTGGACAAGTGAAAAACATTTAGATTATCATCACTGTCTCTGTGCCAGGTTACAGTTATGTCAAACTGATTGTTATATATCAGCAAGCACAGAAAATATAGACAATTCAGGAACTAGATATACAGGCTCTAGTGTGCCGTATCATATCAGTAAAATAACGTAGATGCTAGGGCTGTCCCGAATACCATTTTCCGGGCTCCGGATATTCGGTAGTAATCAGCAGCGAATATTCGAATATTCGGCCCGCGCAGGGGTAATGTATAATCTTTTTGAAAAATAGAGATCGCACATCAGTCCTGTGTACAGATCAGTTCGATAAAGTCATGCCTAAAGAGCGACATTTTACACGATAAATACGGGTTTAAATAACTGCATTTACCACGGAAGGCGAGTAGCAGCTACAGTAAACCTTCTCTTACTCTGGCATCTTGTGGCAACTCCTGTTGAGCAGCGGCAGATGCCTCGGCAAGTTGTGGCATCGGTGGCATATGCCGGAAGTACTTGCCACAGATGCCACGGAGTAGTGGCCTCTGTGGCATATGCCGGAAGTACTTGCCACTGCCTGCAGATGCCACGAAATGAGCCAGGCCCTACTGAATTGAAACCCGAATAGTACTCCAACGAACGAATATTGGGATATTCGGGTACAGCCCTAGTAGATGCCAATAAATAGTTTACCATAAAATAATCATTTTAAAGCTTTAAACTGCTTGTATGGTTAAACATTCAAAATGGAACATCAGGGGTAAGACACTTAATAGGACAACCACTAAATGCTTTCTTTTTCTTCAGTGATTTTTGTGTTGTCGATCTTCCTCATCTGTTGTACCTGCAGCCTGACGTCTGACAGGGCATTCTCCAGCTGCCGGCTGATGGCCTGGCTCTCTGAGGAGCGCTGGTCCAGCTGCCGGCTGCTGTAGCTCAGACCCTCCTCCTGAGCTGCCAGCCTCCTCACCAGCTCCAGGTTCTCCTGCTGCAGCTTGTCCATCTTCCTGCAAACACATTAAATCATTAACTTTCCTCAATCTATACTAATGAGACACGAACATTTGAAATGAGGCTTTCCCAATATCGATTACTGCGGCCAAATTAGCCCACGATGACAGTATTATCCCGATATTTCTAGAAAATAGAAATTGTAAATACAAATGTTATGATCCGTCAAATTCATCTTTGTTTAATGTGCTATAACTGTACTAGTGTAAATCTTTTTAAAATATGTTGGACAATATAAAAGTATACATGTATTTTAAACACAATATCAATTCCATATTAAAAAAAGAAAAAAAACACTGTTATCGACAAAAACTGTATATTGTGATACTCCTATTTTTTATTTACATGAGAGGATGTCTTACTTTTGGAGGGAATTCACCGTCTCTTGCAGTTGTAAATTGGCATCAACAATGGACTCCTTCATCTCCACAGAGGATGTCAGTAATTGTGTCTGACTCTCCATCTGTAAACGCAAAATATAGAGTTCAGATTCACTTGACTGGAGCAGAAAAGAGGGTTTGAGATAACATGCAAAACTGCACAAGAGGCAACCTTTCAAACACTGAATGTTTGCAGACACCAATCCATCATTGCTGATAGATAGAAACATGTAGGGGATTTAGAAGGACTCACACAGCACAAAGCACTCTCAAATTGATACGTACAGTAGGTAGGGATGATTGCAACCAGAGGGTATTAAAACACACAAAAAACAAAACGCACAGCAGGACCAGAGAACAGGATGCATCATGGGGTTGCTCTACCGTACACTAATCAGATGTATGGATGTATACATTCTGACCACCACAGCTCACGTTGCACACCTTAACCTGCAGTTGTCTAACGGACTCTGACTGTTCTGAGCACTTCCTCTCCGAGCGTCGCAGGTTCTCCTGGCACTCGAAGAGACTCTGCTCGGCTGCGCTCAGTAACTCGGGGTAACGCTCCAGTTTGTCCACGCGCCCCTGCAGCTCCTGCCTCACCTCCAGAGGGAGTGTGGGGAACACACAAAACATTAGCCTAGTAATTCAACAAACCTTGTAGGCGGTCGCACTTAAAGCACAAGCAGAATTTGCTGAGATTTATCTTTTGACTGAGCTCTCGCAGTTGTTAGTTGAAGTGCTTTGAAGCGCAACATTACTAGAGAAAGTTTACTAATTAGAAAGTCCAGGGGCAACAAATGTTACACATCAAAAGAAACATTTAACAGCCTGCTACAGCCATTCAAGAGGAGAGGAGAAAGTGCTACAGGGCTGAAATACAAACAAAAATATGTGTGTTGTTAAAATGTGTTAATAAAAAAACAAAAGGAAAAATGATTAGTCTTCCTAAATATTATACATATTGTTCGATAAACATAAGGTTTTGTGTAACATTCTAATCTAAATGTATATGGAGAGGCGGGAGTTTACCTTCTTTACTTCTGTATCTTTTCCATCTTGTGTCTTCTCTGTATCGTTTATAAGGTTTGCATATTGTATCCTCAGTTCATCTAACTCTGCTTGGAGCTCTGAGACCTAGAACAAATAGAGCAGAGAGCGGTGTGAACAAACCTGTCGGCCTCTTGTCAACTAATAACTGAAAACTAGTATTTTATTGATGAATCACTCATTCAGGTATATCAACAGACTACATTAGTGACTAAAATGTCGGTATGACGTCTTTCTTGTAAATAGCCTTTTTAACACAAATGGAAAACTGTTTGGAAACCACAAAACACTTCTAATTTCACGAAGAAGAAAAGGTAAAGTTCCCCCCCTGTGTTCCCTGGTCAGATGGGTAATGATGTTTCCCCAGCATTCATAATCTACAGAAATATATATAGCTAAAACCACTTGCAATGTGGATTTAAGTTGTACAATGTTTGCTGCAAATGGAGTGTTTGAGATCATTATCTTTTTTTAAATGTATTTAAAGAACAAAAATGGATAAGTTGATGTCACCTGAGATTGGCACTGTGCGGCTTGATGTTTGCTCTCCTGAGACAACAGCTTCTCCTCTATCAAGGCGGACTCACACTCAGCCAGCTGCTGCTCCATCTTAGCAACAGATACCTGCAGTTACATCAACATTACATTAGGTTGATGGACAAACAAATAAATAGAAACAATGAATGAAGGTTTTTAAAGTTTCACAATCGTGCACAGAGGACAGACCAAATAGATCAATGTGACAGATTGATAGCTTCCCGCAGGAAATATAACTTTAACAGTAAGGCAAGGCAAGTTTATTTATAGCACCTTTCAACACAAGGCAATTCAAAGTGCCTTCAAAGTGAACACCAGTAGAAACAGTCTTTTAGTAATGATTCTCAATTGCTAGCTGTTTTGAAACGTGTACCTTGAGTGTTGTATTATTGATGTGTAGGTCTCCGTTTTCAGCGCTGAGTTTTTCAACACGTTGCATCACAGTTTCATTCGCTGCAGTGAGATCCTCCTTGTCCATCCGCAGCCTTGCTGTCATGTCCTTAACTTTGCTTTTTTTGAAAGTACACATTATCAATCCATTATTTAAATGTGTAGATGTGTGTATTGATTTACACTATAAAAGAGACTGACCTTTTCAAGACCTCTATTTGAACTACAAGTTTGTCTCTCTCATCTGACTCCTGCTCTTTCTGCTGTCTCCTGGAGTCTCTTTCTAAACGGGCCTTGGCTATCTGAGCATCCTGTATGCCGAACGAGAAAAAGAAAGTCAAAGCAAGATTATAAACGGTGACAATGTATAGAAAATACTAGGGATGTAACGATACCAAAAACTCACGGTACGATAATATCGCGATAAAAAGTCCACGGTACGATATTTATCGCGATATTGAAAAATAAAGAAAAAAAATGTGAATCTTTTTTTTTACTTGAATTTGTTTTCTTTATTAAATAATAAATCTGATTCGTACAGCATTTTAGTAGGATAGTAGTATTTTAAAGTGTCAACAATATAATAATCAGACCTTTCAATAGAATAAATCAAGTTTCACTTTAGTTTTTCAAGTAACTCAACTCTAACTCACTCACGGCCCGTCCACAGCTTCGACAGCTTCAAAAACGGTTTCCAACGCGTCTGCCCATTCACTGGGGTGACGTCACTTTTCGCCGAACTGCATTGTGGGAAGCAGAGCGGAGCTTTCCTGGCGTTTTCAGGCTGCAAAAGTTGAGCAATGTTCAACTTTTGTAGCTTCTGAAGCTTTCGGTGGAAGCGTCAGCCAATCAAATCATATGCCAGTACAAGCTCTAGCCAATCAAACCGCTGCTTGTGTGTCAGGGGCGGGAGATTCATGTGATTGGTTGTTGGTCGAGCTTCAGACACGCCCAGCTCCAAGCTTTTTTTGAAGCTGTAGTGTGGACGGGCCGTCACTCACTCAGCATCATCAAGGTTATCTTTTAGGAATATGAGCATGTCCACATTTCCAGGTAGAAGCTGGGATGTTTGGGCGTTTACAATATCCCCTGCTGTGGAAACAACTCTCTTGCTTGGTACTGATGTTGCTGGGACAGAGAGATATGCTTTGGCCATGGGTGACAGCAGTGGGTCAAACTATGCATTGTCTCTCCACCACTTCAAAAACAATACAGTTTTTGCCAAGAAGGTGAGGCTTATTGACAGGGCGAGATATAAATATACTGTTGGTACTTGTCAATGTCTCTAGGTATGTACATGTAGCCCTGTAAATACGATGTCCTTTTGTGTTATCTGTAGTTTTATGTTCATGTTGTAACCTACTTGCTGCCATGTTGGACAGGTCTCCCTTGAAAAAGAGATCGATGATCTCAATGGGAACGTCTGGTTAACAAAGGTTTACACATTTTTTTTTTTTTAAATATTTAAAAAAAAAATTGCGATAGATTTTGTCAGTCTCACGACAGTATTAAGACATTTATTTACCGTGATATCGCGATATATCGTTACATCCCTAGAAAATACTATTTTAGTTTTGATTTTTGTACCTTTTCACGCATCTGTGTATAGCATTTCTCAATAGCGGCTTCAAATCTCTCAGCTCTCTGCTTCTGTGCCCGGCAGGCTTTCTTTAGAGAGTCTTTGTCCTTTGCTGCCTTCTCACTCAAAGATGGGATGGAAGCTTTCAGATCATCAATCTCCATCTTTTGCTCGGTCATGGTTCTCTCCACAGTCTGGAAAAGACAGCATGCTCATAAGGAAAGGCTACAATATTTCACCTTTTATTATGTTAAACCTGAGAGCAGTGAGGGTGTGTACCCGGAGCTGCACAGTCAGACGGTTGTTCTCAGCTTCCTTGTTGCGCAGCTGCCCCTGCAGGTGAGCCCGAGTCGCCTCCACAGACTTGTTCACTTGAACTGCACTCTTTATGTTCTCCTGTGAAGGCCAGTATAAACAGTCTTTTACAATTCATGCACTCTGCCTCCTTTGCATTTTTAGAGTCTGCAACCACGTCTGAAAAAATCTGTTTACCTGGTCTTCTCGGCGCAGATTCATCATGTCTTCTATTTTTCTTTCTGTCTCACTCAAGTGTCTTTTTAAATGCTTTGGGAGAAAAATGACATCATTAAGCAAATGATTTTAGACAGGAATGTCCCCACTTTGAGAGTTATTATGCTATATTAGTAGGGATGGGTATTGTTAAGGTTTTAATGGTACTACTACTTTTATCGATACCGCTTATCGATCCGGTCCTTTAACGGTACTTGAACAAAAAACAAGTATCACCTCATTTTCACTCTCAGCCTGTGTGATCCTCTTCAACAGGATGTCAGTTTTTTTGTCCGCATCAATTCGATAAGCCTGAATGTAAAGGCACAAAATATAACTATTAGGAAAATGAAAAACACATTTTGACATTTTTCTAAGAAATGTGTGTTCAAGTTAATTTAATTGATAAAAACCAGAACTTCACATATAAAACCAATGACATAACTACCCAGGGCAAAACACAAGTTGCAAGTATTGTAACCAACCTCTGCATCTTGGAGCTGTTTCAGTTTCTGTCGGACAGACTTATTTATTCTTCTAAAATTCTCCAACTTCTCGAGCAAAAGTCCTCTTTGCCTTGTTATTCTGTGCTTATCAATGGCAGACTGTTTTGAATCCTTAAAGTGCAAGAGAAAAATAAATTAGAATAGAGGGCAGTGTAAGGGTTTTCAACATGGAGGGCCCATGTTAGAACAGGATTTGGTTTATGCAAAATTGCAACCAACATACGGAAAATTCATCTTCCATGGCGTCTTTAAAAGACACAAGTTGTATGGCAGCAGAGTTAGCAGCTGCTTCTGCGTCCATCAGTGTTTTCAGGAAGGGACTTTTTCCATCGGCAGAGTCTCCAAAACTAAACCAAACAAAGAAAAAGTGATTGTTAGTAGATGCAAAAGGACGACAGATGGGCAGTTGAAATGTAAGTTGACACAGGGAAATGTTTTCAGAATAGTTTTGTCACAACTCAAGTAGTTTAAAGTTAGAGTGAGTTTACATATGATGAATGACCTGTTTATGATCCGTTTTTGGGATTATCCATTTATGACTATGTACACACTATGATAATAACTAGGGTAATCCTCATAGTGAATTTCACATGTAAAATAACACATTTATGAGGTTTTTCAAGCTTATGAACAGATTGGGAATATGGTGTTTACATGAGCACGGGAAATCAAGTTACAAACTAGTAACCTTCTTACTGTTTACTGGAGTTGAATAAGCCTCATCAATTGATTATTCATGCACGTGTAAAAGCAGTACACATGTGACATAATCTACACATCAAAACCAGTGGAACAGAACAGTAAGGCTGTGGCTGCTAGTGAATGGATGGTTTGTTTCACACATTGGGACTGTATGTAATCACATGCAATCATAGGACCTCACCAGTTGATGTCCGCCTCTGGGGTTCTTGTGTGGGAACTGTTGCATGTCTTGCTTCTTCCCCCCAGCTCACGAGAGATAGCTAGATCTCCACAGCTCAGAGTGCCATCATCCCTGGTAGAGCTGAAACCAAGGGGGGGACTATGGAGTTCATCCTCTGGAGACATGCCTCTTACTACTGAGAGAATAATACACTGTGTAAGTTACTTTGAAAATCCAGATGAGGGCAGCAAGTTAGTTCACACAAACAACACATTTAAAATGTGCTTATTTACACTGTTTACTCTCTGGATTGCAAAGTATTATGAAGGACAGTGACTGAGAGTATGTTGTCAAGCTGACTAAGCCTCCTCCATAGCAACATACAGTTAGTGGCTTCTTAGCTTCACATCACGTTATGCGTTATACTAACGACAGCAACGATGTGTTAATTCTACCAAGTAGAGACACAGACATTAACAACATGTATAATATATTTAAACGTTAGTAAATTCTTAAGAAATAGAGCCACTAATAATGTAAATAGTACCTACGCGTTTGCCTTATGTCGGTTGTGGTTGTTAACAACGCTACTCCAAACTGAAGAGCCCTCTAACAGGATTGATTCTGATTGGTTAGTGCTGAGGCAACGTAATGACGTAGCCTCTTTTGCTTGCTCCTGATTTGTTCTCAAGCAGGAAAATGGGTGGGACTACATTTGATTAAAGTAGTGTATAGCCAATGAGCAAAGAGACTTGTTGAAACCATAGAAACGAAAAGGAAGTTTACTGCCACGGAATATCAACCATCTTCTGGTAACATCAAGTTACCAAGATTATTAACATGTTGTACCTTTTGTTGCGTGAAACTCAAAACCAACCATAACACTGATTAGATATATACTGATAGTTAAACGGAACGTTATTTTACTTAAGTTGGTTTCGTAATATAGCATTGTCAGAGCTTCTTCAGTTCAGTCGGAGTTAGCTGTGCAGCTAACTCTAATGCTCGGCGGCTGGAAATGTTTAAAGCAAAAGTTCTCTTTATTGGTCCCAATGAGGTACGTTGAAGATGTTTCCCTACTGTAACGTAGCCGATTTGTAGTGTCAAATGTGGATAGGTAACTCCATGGATAGGCGTACATATTGTATGCTTGCATATACCTGGGCCTCTGTGTATGGGTTGTAAATGTACCCAGCTTGTCTGCGTTTGTTTATGTTACTTGAGAAGTCTGCAAAGGTTAATCATAATCAGTGATTACTAGTGTCTGTAATGGCTGTAACTTCAATTACAATTTTAAGGCAATCATTCTTGTACAGCATCTCCATTATCTTGCTTTGTACTTTCACTACATTTCAGAGGAAATGTTCTTTTAAATTCACTGTATTTATATGAGAGCTATAGTATTAATCTGTTCAATTTTCTTGAATGAATTATTTATATTCTTACATTTTATGTATAGGCACATCTATGCATTTCCTACTGTAACATTAAAATTACTATTAGGAAACCCTTTTTCTGCAAAACAATATACATTCAAAATGTACTGTAGGAAAAAGCAGAGGTGTCACTGAAACTTAAACAATGACTTAATACATTGTAAGGGCTAGTATGCCAAGATAGTCCTACAACTGTAACATGTAAACAAAATGCATCTATTGTTTTAGGTATCACCTGTGTTGATTGTAGCTAATATAATTTTTTTATGTGTCTGTTTTTTCAGAGTGGGAAAACGGTTATTGCAAATTTTCTCTCAGACACAGCAGATGTTGGAGGTGAATACAGACCGACACAAGGAGTAAGGTACAAACACTGTCTCAACTTTACCGTGGTACACCAATTACCCAAGGAAGTGGAAAACATGATCTGACAGAATATTACGAGTGTCATTTTATAAATGTAGTCTAAAATGTATTACCTTCATTGTTGGATGATGAAGGGTATATCCTATCTTTTTAGCTTTGACTGTAATTATCTTCTGACTTTAGAAAACATATTGCAGCTGTACTCTGCTGTTACTGTTAACAAGTATCTCTGACTGTTCAAAGGATACTGGAATTTGAATCACAAGCTGAAGGCAGTCACGACAATGACAAATGTGATGTTGAACTTTGGGACTGTTCAGGAGATTTTAAGTAAGTTAAATATCAAACTCTTTCAATGGCTAAAGGCTTTAATATCCCCATTCCATCTGGCAACACATACTTCAAATTGCTTTTCATAATTGCTTTTAATAATGTATTAATATATTCTCTTCACAGATTGGAGACATGCTGGCCTGCAATAATAAAGGACTCCAGCGGTGTAGTGATCATTTTTAATCCTAATGTCCCAAGTCACCTAAAGGAAATAGAGACGTGGTACTCGATGTTCATCTCCTCTCAGAGCTTGCAGGAAAGCCAGTGTTTACTCATTGCTCACCACAAGCCCGGCAGCGCGGTGGAAGATGGACGGCTCCCTTTAGGTATTTCCACTGCTGGCCTGCCACAGCTGTTGTAGGAGTTATTGTAATGACTATTCCTGTGCTAATATGTTCATTCTTTTCAATGCAGCCTCACATTTAGGCCGACTGCCGCTTATCCACTCCAACCTGGAGGAGGAGCCTGAGGATGTGAAGCAAGCTTTCTGCAAATACTTAGGAAGTGTTGTGAAAACAATGTCGGAGAGTCGAGAACGAGAGGAGATGTCCATCATTACATAGCAGCAAAATCATAAAATATGCTGCTTGATTAGATATTTAGTTGAATCGGCAATCTTCGTTAAAGTGTAAGATATACAAACAATTTAAATTTTAAATAATATATCTTGGCTGTCAGGAAATGGCATGAAATCCTCCACAACACCATGTAAATACTTTCCTACAGTTAGTTGATTTCGTCCATTCTGTTGACTTATTTGTTGTGTTTTGTGAATAAATAAATGTTTCAATACATTTTTTAAGACAGCAAATATCTGACTTTAGACATTGTTTATTTGAACATTTTGTGCAATGTGTTGAGAATGTGACAATTAGAAGTGCAATGGGAGAAAGGGCAGTTCACTCTTTAGACATCGTATCCAACAATGCCTCCTTTGCCAATGCACTCTCCAATGTAGAACCACATCAGCACCTCAGTGGCCACGAGTCCATTCCTTAGGGAATCCTACAAAACAAAACAAATGTATTTTACTCAAGTAAATAGCTTTGACAGTTCAAGATATGGGAAATGTTATATGGTATTTTGCCACGGTCTGACAATGTTACATGAAAGAAAAATTGTGGAGTCCAAAATGTATTAATCCCTTCAGATGCATTCCAGCAGTCACAATACACATTTCATTACGCTTGTTTATAAAGTTTGACATCCCCTGACAGTCTTTGACACAAACACCTTGTTGGTCCACTCATTTTCCATTGAACCAACTGCAATGGCATGTAAACCTCCAACACTGCTAGTTTACTAATGTGGCCCACAATGTTTACTTCTATTGTCTTGTACAATTTTCCAGTCAATTCTATTACTCAGTAGATGAACTCAACCATACTGTACAACTGGTGTATACAACACACTGATGACTGGGCATCGGAGCCAAATGGCTAACTTTGTTTGTATCTGGCATGAACAACTTCAGCCTCATGCAGATAGATGTACTCCCTTCTGGAAAATAACGGAGTGTCTACAGTGTGCAGTCAATTTAAATTGGCATTTTCAATGTTCTTATTTTGGAAAAATGCTTCTGGTTGCTTCAATTTTGCATTAAGTGATTAAACAAATAAGTTCCGGCAATATGTCATGTTTAATAATCTGACTTCCAGAGTCTGAAGTTGAATATTCAAACAGCTTTCATTGTCTGTCCAACATTCCAAAACTAAAATATATTCATTTCATTATCATATAAAATAGAGAAAGTAGTAAAATGTCCAACCTCAGCTAGTGTTCGGCATCATATTAGTTTTCCCAGTGGATATTAGTAATTGTATGTTGCTTGACTGAATGATAAATTGACAAATCTCAAGCTGCAAAGATAAACCGTTTAGCAGAAAAATAATCAGCAACTATTTTTGTAATTGTTCATGCATTTCTCCATTTTACGTCATATTAAAACAGAATATATTAATGGTTTGAATGAAAAACACAGCATTTAAAGACCTTACCTTGGACACTAAGAAAATGGGAAAACATGTGCTCACTATTTTCTGACATTTCATTGGCGAAATTATTTATGTATTAATCAAGAAAAATGTTGAGGCCCTTTTGTTTAAGCACTTAATGACTTCAGAGATAGCTGTCCTGGGCCTTAATACCTTTATGTTCCCTTACAAACAAAAAAGGTGACAACCATAGACTGTTTAGGGGACAACACATCAATGCAGGCTGTCATTTTTAGAATTAACTGCTATTAATCCAGGCAGGTACACCCTTTTCTAGAATCAAGCCAACAAAAAAATACATTATCATTTTAAAAACAAAATGTACACAAAAATAAATACAACGCAAGTAAGTGTCACACTTGTACAGACTCACCTTTACAGTGGTCTGTCCCAGGCGTCCTGCCTTGTAGCTCTTGAGGATGGCGGATGCCTGCTCGATGGCTTTGGGGATCTCAGCAGGGGTCGGGGGGACGAGCTCCACCCGGGCATAGTACCAGAATTTAGCCAGTCGGGGTTTGGAGTAGGTGAAAACCCCTGAAAGAGATACAAACACACTCAGAATCAGGTTTATTGCCAAGTTGGTTAACGCACACAAGGAATATGTTAAAGTGTATAATGGTGCATTCATAAACACAGTAAGGGGAAATAAGATGTACAAAATACAGCAAATATAGAACTATTTTAAACACATTTTATAAACAACTTTTTTGTTGTTGTGCAGTTTTAAAAGTCGTGGACATTGTGTTAAGAAATACCATTAGCTATCTTTATAAAAAAGGAGCAGCAAAGTCAAAAGTCACTGAACCATTTCACCTTTCTCTATATAACTATATACAGCAACAATAAAATTAAAATAAACAGGTTTTCTAGGACAACCTGCTGCAGAGGTGGATTCGCATTGACACCTGAGCATACTAAAGGTCACACAGAAGGTGTGCTAACAAGCTGGGACAACGTGACCGAGCTGCTGCTGCTGCTGCTAAACGGTTCACTCCACCGACACCGTTTATAATTGCGAGAGTAAATGTAACTTACCACCGACTACAGCTGGTACTTTTGCAACGAGTTTCTGTACTGCCTGAGCCATATTGACCAGAGTGTGCCAAAAACACCAGAGGAAGAAGGACGTAGGAAGAAGAAAAGTGGCATCAAAAGGCTTCCGGGTTGCTGATTTCAAAATAAAATGCGATAAGGTGCAAACCTGGGGAAATGCAATTTTTTCTAAGTAAAAATGCTTGAAATCAATTGGTTCTAAAACATTTAATTTTACAAATCACATTGTTGGTTTTTGCTGATTTCTTTATTGTGAATCTACCAATAGGACACCGGAACACAAACTTGATCATCACGCCAATGAAAAACAGGCCCACAGAGGCAATGCAAGTAGTGCTGCGTACCTGGACTCACATTCAGGTTCAGGTCCGGACTCAAGTCCAGAGGTTCAGGTTCAGGTCCGGACTTATAAGTCCGGACC